TACCAGGTTTAGAAGGCTCTAAACAAACTCTATCAAGAAGAAGCAAAAGCTCTGTCATAGAAGTGGATTCCTCATCCCTCAATCCCCTACAAAACCCAAAGTCCTAATTATTACCCAAAGGCAATATAGGAGGGAATAGAAATTTTGAGAGCACCTCATTTTTGTACAAGGAAGGAAATAAATCCTTTAAAGGCAGGTCACCAATCCAAATGTCTTCCTGAACACAAATTAAATTCCCTGAACATGCATCTTACCTACTATACTTTAGGAAAGAAAGAAGGATACCGTGAATTTCTTTCCAAGGTGCTGCCATAGTAGCCCGATGTGATACAGCAGCATCCCAATCACTCTCCGGCCTTCCATGAATGCTATCCGCCACTTCATGCCATAAACCTTTCCTTTCTAATGGCCACCTCTATTACCACTTCCTTAAGAGAGCTATATTCTTCTTGCTCACATTCCCAATACCCAACCCACCTTTGTCCTTGCTTCTACACACAATTTTCCATTTGATTAGGTGGTCTTTTCTAGCCTCTCTCCGCTCCCAAAGGAAATCCCTCGTTGCTTTTTCTAATTTCTTTGCTTCCCTTGGTGGAATACTAAAAAAGTGAGAAAGTAAATTAGTAGGTTAGCCAAAGGTTGATCTTATTAGGGTAATCCTACCTTTCAATGAGATATAATTTCCTTTTCCGCATGACCAATCCGGTAATCTCCTCTCACATCTTTCTACAATTGGATTCCAGAATCTACTTTTCTTGGGGTTGGCACCTAGAGGAAGACCCAAATAGGTCAGAGACCAAGGGGGTGGTTGGACACTAAGCAACCCACTACCAAAGTTAAGTCAATCTCCTCCATATTGATCCATGCTATGCAACTCTTTTAGATTCCTCACCCTCCTAGCATCTCCCCCTTCACAAAAAATTATGATATTATCTACAAATTGGAGGTGAGTGATTGAAACATTGTTTCTGCTTCAATTATCGAAAAAGAAACATTGTTTCTGCTTACTCTGCAACCCCTAAACTCATCTTCCTTATTAGCTCTAGAGAGGTGTCTACTAAAAACATCAGCCACTAAAGTAAGAAGGAAAGGTGAGAGAGGATCACCTTGCCTTAACCCTTTACAAGTTGGAAAGAAATCTTTCACCACTCCATTAACAAGGGTGGAAAATGACAAGATCGTGTACAACCAAACACCTAATTGCACCATCTCTCCCCAAACCCACACAATTGCATCACCTCTAACAAAAAGACCAATCCACCAAGTTGTAAGCCTTTTCCAACCCTAATTTGCAAACAAAGCCTTCCTTTCTAGATCTCTTCATTTCCTATACATTCATTGGCTATTAGAATTCGATCAATTATTTGTCTCTCTTGAATGAAAGCCCCTTGAAATTGGTTGATGATGGGGGGAAGTACTACTTTAATCTTTAAGGAAAGGACTTCAGCAATTTTTTGTTGTTACTGTAGAACTTTATGCTGCAATATTTGGGGTAAAAATGACTAGAGACATGGGAGCAGAAAGGTTGGTTCCTGAAGGCGACTTGAAATTAATAGTGGGGTGGTTAAAGAAAGGTGAAGGGGTGATTTGGAAGCTTAGAAATGAATACATGTGCTTTAAATGGCTTTCAATAGATACGGCGATTCAAATCAAATGGGTTAGGAGATCTGCCAATAGTTTAGCAGATGGCTTAGCAAAACAAGGAGTAAATACACAACATATGTACTATGCTCAGTTGTAATAAAGTCTGTGATACAGTGGGTAGGTTTGCCTTGTATTGGGTTAGACAATTTTTCATAACTTCTGGTTGTAATGTTCTCTTCTTTTTAATGATTGAATGAATTTCTGTGTTACTGATAAAAACAAAGAGAAAGGACCTTATCAATTATTTTGTAGATACAAGTCACCAAACTTATGAGTTGGAAGTCTTAAATTAAGGTTGGTAGCATTGGTTTATTTTGGAATTAAAGCCAAAAAGGTTGCATGGACTCCAAGGCTAATGATATGTGTATTCTAAAACTCAAAGACTTTCGCATTAACTCATCTTTTAACACTTTCCAAAAATCCTAATAGAAAGCCATTGTAAAGCCATCCGGTCCCAATACTTTAGATCTATCTATAGAAAAAGCTGTCCGTTTTATTTCCTCTTCCTTAAAATCCCTTTCTAGTCATCTTGCTGCCTCATCCTCTAGTAGTGGCCACTCTAACCCTTGAAAATCACATTCTTTCACCCAAAGGTCTTCTATAAATAGATTTGAAATGGTCCACAAAGATGTTGGCTATCTCATCTTGATTAGAGATCACTTCCCCATTTGTCTCCCATCTATTCACAAAGTTTTTATGCCTTTTACCATTGGCCATAGCATGGAAGAATTTTGTATTGCCATCCCCTCCTTGATCCATTTATGCCTTGATTTTTGTTTCCAACAGATTTCCTCCCTATCAAGGACTTCTTCCAACTTCTTTTTCAACTTCCATCTCAATTCCCTTTCTTCCACATTAAGGTTCCTCTGATTTTCCACACCTCATCCAATTCTTCAATATGGGATATTGGAGTAAGCTTCCTTTCTTCTATTCTTCCAAAATGTTCTTTATTCCACTCCTTTATCTTAGATCTCAATCTTTGCAGTTTCTTATGGAACTTGGTTCCCTTTGACCTCACCCCCCTTAAGTCTTCATTTTGGATGTGTCAACCACATATTTTCAAATCTAAAGGGAGTAGGACCACACAAAAAAATTTTAAGCCTAATCCAAAGTGACTCTAGGCAACACTCTAGACACCAATCCTTCTCAATGATTTTCCCAACTTATATTAAACAAAAACCTGTCTATCTTTGAACACAATAGGTTTTCATGAAAATTGGACCAAGTAAATTTAGTTTTCAAGGGGATCATTTTCAACTCTCACATGTCCATGAATTCATTAAATTTCATCATACCAGTAGTGGTTGACTGGTGGGGATTATTAGTTTCGTTGGAGAACCTTATCACATTGAAATCTTCACCCAAGTACATGTACCCTCCCACAACCCCATACTGCATACAGAGTTCCTCCCACATTTCATTCCTCTATAATTATTTGGTCCATAAACCTTAGTTAACACCCAAGTGAATCCATCCACCACATTCTTGAACTTTACCAGGATGGTATATCTACCAATTAGCTCCATCATTGATTCCAATACTTAATCCCTCCAAAGTGTAACTATACCCCCTAAATCCCCCCAAGACGGTGTCAATCCATCTTATACCCCCCGATCTCCACAAACTCTTGATCCATCTTCTATCCAACTCTACAAATTTAGTCTCTTGCAACAACACAACATTGGGATTCTTTCTTTTTTATAGATCCTTTATTACCCTCTTTTTCCTTGCATTCCCCAGGCCTCTTACGTTCCAACTGACTATTTCCAATACTCAACCTTTTATCTAAAACCCTCTTCCTCTCATCACTCTCCCTACTTGGGGTGTTTCCTTCTACCTTCCCTCCCATTATTTCAATATCACCCTTCACATCAGAAGTTAACCTCTCTACTTCCGTCTTTTTCTTCTTCCTCTTTTTCCTTTTTTTTCTTCACTCTTCCTAGAATACACTTTCCCCTTCTAATTCCCTTCCACCTTGTGAGCCCTTTGACTTTGTGTGTTATCCTGTATAGTTGGGTTGACCATGTCTTTCTCCATTTCCCTCTCCATCTCTTTCTTACATCTTTCCTTCCATACAAGGATCTTGAATACCCTCTTCAACTATTCCTTCCTTTATTTTGAGGATCTTTAAAAGAATCACTAATTAAAGCCCATACCCTTTCTAGAATTTCTTTTGCACCCCTCCTTTCTTCTACCTCCCTCTCTTCTATTCTTATTGTCACACTTTCACCTTCCCACTCCTTCAAGCTGGGTAGCTGGTGCCTGTTTCAGGCATCACACTAACATCAGTAACCATAACTGAAGGGACAAACATACCTGGAGTCGATGAGAATGGAATGCGTACAAAGGGACTGGGAGACCCTTGGTTGGAAGTCATCACAGCTGACCTATCCTCTAAACTGGGCTACTGCAAAGTGAGAGTGGGGAAGGTATTAGCTCTGTTTGCACCAAAATCCTTTTCTAGTACACCCTTCTCTGACACCTCATTGTGAACCTTCATTTTGACCAAGTACACTGCCTGCTCAATTTTGACCAAGTACACTGCCTGCTCATCTTCCTTTGCGTTTCCATGAATCAAATTCTCTTCTTTTTCTTCCAGAAACAGCTCTTCTGTTTTGAAGCTCTCTACCTCATTCATATCGATCATCAAATTTTGATCAATACTGCCCATGCTCGAGTATTCAAAAGATACTGAATCGTTACCACTACCATCAAAATCTGAGTCTTCATTTCGAACTATCTCCTTTCATTTCCTTGCATTTTTCTTTCTTTCCGCAATGCAGTTTATTTCCTCCACTACCTTTGATTCTTTAAACACAGAGTTTCTGCCAAGACTGTAGAGCTCCTTCCATAAACAGCATAAATCATTCAATCACCTCCTTACCTACGAACAATACCATCGCCATTTTAGTTTCCCTAACCTTCAAAGCTGTATTTCCTTTGGATCTGTAACTCTTGAGCACAAAGATCTTTTCTTCTATCTTCAGCACAAATGAACCTCTCCTCCATTTCAACTCTGTTTATCCTCAATCTTTTAAACTTTTTGCCCAACATAAAACTTAGAGCTGCAACTTGGGTGGGCTTGGGTTGAGCATTTGCTAAAATTTGAATAGGGTCAGGTGCTTGACGTGCACCCCTAATAAAACCTCCCAAAATTTTGTTATCTTAGTATGTTATCAGTTCACTAGGTCTATGACACAATTATTGCGAGATCTCATCTGTATTCCCTGTATTAAATACAATCTAATCTTTGTACCTTTCTAGTTTGATAAAATAATTAATTTGATCTATTAATTAATTTCCTATTCATTAATATTAAAATTCTCACTGATGTTACTTTCATTTTTTCTCAATAGATGCAAAATACTGGTCCACATGCTTCATCCAGGCCTATGTATAAAAAGAGGACTCGTGAGAGAGAAGACATTAGTTGGAAATACTGTACTGAAGTTGATGGGGATCGGTCCAGGCATTATAAGACCTATTCTCGTAAGAAGAAGGCCAACAAACAGGTTCTGATTTGGCATGGGGAAGACTCTTGGGACTTGGACTGATCTGGTCAGGGGTATTTTCGTCATTTTGACCAGTCACATGTGGGCTTGGGCTATAGCATCTTGTTCCTGTAGCTTAGTAGTGATTCTCTTTCAATTTTTAGTTTATTTGCATTAGTAGGTAGAAAGTTTTTATGTTTCTTGATGCACAAGATAAGGAGTGGCTTTTTTTGTACTTACGGTAAGAGTATTCCGGGTCACACAAGTCACTCTATAAATAGATGTATTCTCTTCCTTTTGAAGCTAATTGTTTATTTTGAGTTCTCTTGCAAGTTTGATGTATGGAGTGATTCCTACAACCCCTAGAGTGATTCTAGGAACCTTGGAGTGATTCCTTGGGATTTCTATCCCCCTCTCTCTTTCTGTCTTGTAATTGTTTGTTCCAACCCTATTGCATCAGTTTTGGTATCAGAGCATCAAGTTTCAAATGGCTCATTACAATGGTAGAAACATGAGAAGAAGATTAAGTGAACAAACTAAAGAAGAAGTGTTGCTTGCACTTATTAATCGGTAGACACCCTAGAAGCTCAAGGCAAACTATTGATGGAAGACCAAAAAGAAAAAAAAAAACAGCATTGGTGTTCTACATGGAGGATATGACGAGTTTTAAGGGTACTTTAAAAACTCAAGGTACTGCCATCAAGCCCCTAAGGACTGCCATCAAGCCCTTAAAGCCTTGAACTCTACAAACTCAAGGTACTTTAAATGATTTATATGACGAGTTGGAGAATTCTAAGACTAATATAGATGACTATCAGGATGATATTACTAGTAAAGTGAAGATAGAAGTTCCTAGTTTTAAGGGTGATATCGATCCACAAGCTTTATCCAATTGGATGGCAGAATTAGAGGTATACTTTGATTGGTTCGATATGTCAGATGAGAGATGGATTAGATTTGCTAAACTTAAACTTATAGACCATGCAAAAGTATAGTGGAGTGTGGAGAAAAGATTACAAAATATGGGTCAGCGTCCTATCACCCGTTTGGAAGATATTTTTCTTGATGAATATGTTATATATATAAAAAATTTTATTATATACTAAATGCTTATTATTTTATATAATATATACAAAGTTTAAGTTTTAACATATAATCAAATATTAATTAGTTGACACATGTCAATACATGTGTATGACATGTGTAAACACTTGAGCCAACTCATTTGGAAGATATAAAGTATCAATTGGAGGAAAATATTTGCCTAATGACTTCCTAGATGCTCTTCATGATGAGATGATGACATTGAGGCAAGGCAACTTATTTGTGTTTGAATACATTCTAAAGTTTGATGCGCTTACTATTAGATGTCAGTCTACAGAAAGTGAGAAGTAAAAAATTAGTCCAATTTCGGAATGGTGTAAGGGTTGATATTCAAAGGGAAATGATGACCGCACAAGTTTATGATGTAGGTTATGTTTTTCAAATGGCTCTTAAAATAGAGAAGAGCTTGAAGCAAGAGAATAGTAGGAGGCTTGGCATTCAATCTAGGGAGCCAGCAACCCTTAAGAGTTTAGATGAGGGTAGAGCCACTAAACCTAAATCTCATAATGCTGTTCTAGTAAGGGAAAGAATATCATGATTGATGCTAATAAAAGGGGAACAACAGAAAATACTTGTTTCAGGTGTGGTGGAAAGGGCCACTATGCATTTCAATACCCCAATAAAAATCTACACATAGGGTGTGGGAAGGAAGGACAAGTGAAAGATAATGGAGGCCTTGGCGAAGAATACATTGGATCTAAACATGAAGAAGAAGACGACAACAATCTTGTTGGAGTTAGACATATTTTAGCATCATCTAAAGAAGAAAAGAAAGAAGATTGGCTTTGTACAACGATCTTCCTCACCTTTGTCAAGAGTGGAGACAACTTTGCAAGCTAATAATTTGTGATGGTAGCAACATGAATGTGGTTTCTACAGCAACTGTTGAAAGGCTCAATTTAGTTGCACAACCTTACCCTCAACCATGCAAGATTGCCTGATTAAACAAGATGACTCTTCAGGTAGAACAAAGAGCTCTTGTTTCTATTTTCTATGGGTCTTATGCCGATGATATTTGGTGTGATGTTGTTCTTATGAATGTTACACATTAGGCCGACCATGGCTTTACATAGGAATATATACCATTGTGGGAAAGAAAATACATAATTACTAATGGAAAGAGAATTGTTATGAAACTTGAAACCTATGTCACCTAATGAGATCAAGAAGCAACACATACCCCTATTTAAGAGGTACTTAAGGAGGTTGAAGACTTGCTGGCTGATTTTTCAGATTTGATCCTAGATAAGTTGCCTGATGAATTACCACCTCTACGTGATGTCCAACATGCAATATACTTGATTCCCGGGTTCCAACTACCTAATTTGCCTACATACCAATTGAATCTCATAGAACATGCTGAGTTAGAGGCAAGTGGATTATCTATTGAACAAGGGCTTCATTAGAGAAAGTTTCAGCCCATGTGCTATTATTGGCTCTACTCACTCCCAAGAATGATGACTCATGGAGGATGTGTGTTGATAGTAGAACAATCAACAAGATTACAATCAAGTAATGGTTCTCCATTCCTTGCTTAAATGGCATATTGGATATGATGATCGAAGGTACAATTTTCTCTAAGATTGATCTTAGAAGCGGATGTCACGAAATTACGATTTGTCTTGGAGATGAATGGAAAACCACTTTTAAGACAAAGGAAGGCCTCTATGAGTGGTTTGTTATGCCTTTTGCTTAACTAATGCTCCCAACACTTTCGTGAAAGTTATGACTTAGGTACTTTGTCCTTTTATTGATCATTTCTTGGTTGTTTATATTGATGGCATTCTTAGATACAACCATACTCTTGATGACCTTCTCGACCATTTACAAGTGATGAGAGCCTTACGCCAGGAAAAGCTCTACACCATCAACTTAAAGAAGTGTTCTTTTATGACACCTATTGTTATCTTTTTAGGAGTTGTTATGTATCTTTTGAAGGTGTTAAGGCTGATCCTGACAATCTTTTGAAGGTGTTAAGGCTGATCCTGACAAGGTGACAGCTATACTTGATTGACCCAGCCCCACTAACATCCATTAAGTGAGAAACTTTCACGGATTAACTATTTTTTATAGGAATCATAAGGAATTTCAGTACTATTATGGCACCAATTACAGAAGCTATGAAAAAGGGGGAATTTGTTTGGTTTAAGGCTGCAACTAAAGCCTTTGAAACTATCAAGCAAAGGATGATTGAGACCCCAATGTTACAACTGCCCAACTTTTCAAAAATCTATGAGGTGTTTTGTGATGCTTCTCAAGTTGGAATAGGTGGTGTGCTTATGCAAGAAGGACATTCTATAGCTTTTCATAGTGAAAAGCTTAATGAAGCTAGACTTAAGTACTCCACATATGACAAGGAATTCTATTCTACTATGCAATGTCTTTGGCATTGGTGTTATTATTTAACTTTTCAAGAGTTTGTTTTGTATTTAGTAGTTGACATCAGAAATGAGTTGAATTTTTAGTAGAATGTAACTTTGTGATTAAGCATATAGCTAGTGCTGAGAACCGAGTAGCTGATGCATTGAGCCGTGTGGTGTACATGCTTCATTCTATACAACTTGTGGGGTTCGATTGGCTGAAGCAAGATTATGCTGGTTGCAAGGATTTCGACATCATTAATGGTTCTTTACAGGCTGGACAACAATCTGAATATCCTGGCTTTTCTATCCGTGATGGTTATTTATTCAAGGGAACTTGCTTGTGTCTTTCTAACGCTTCACTATTTGATTATGTTATGTGGGAGTTACATGCAGGTGGAATTGCTGGGCATTTTGGTCAAGATAAGACCATTGCTTTGGTAGGTCGCTTTTATTGGCCTAGCCTTAAGGTTGATGCTGATCATGTGATCAAACAGTTCAGAATTTGTCAATTGGAAAAAGGGAGAAATAAAAATGCAGGGTTGTACTCCCCTTTACCAATCCCACATGAGCCTTTTCAAAACCTCTCTATGGATTTTGTCTTAGGTCTGCCCAAGATAGTAAGGGGTCATGATTCAATTTATGTTGTGGTAGACAGATTCTCAAAAATGGTCCACTTTATTCCTTGTAGTAAGAATATAGATACTTCACATGTGGCAAACCTATTATTTAGGGAAGTTGTTTGTTTACATGGTGTTCTTGTTACTATTGTTTCTGATCGCGATGCTAAGTTTACGAGTTACTTTTGCAAGACACTTTGGAAACTTCCCAATACAAAATTGAAGTTCTCATCTAATGACCAAATTGTGGTAGTTAATAGGAGCCTTGGTGATTTGTTACATTGTTTAATTGGTGATTATACTTCCAAGTGGGATCTCATCCTACCTATGGCTGAATCTGCTTAAAGCAGTTTAGTTAATAGTTCAATTGGAAGAAGTCCCTTTGAGATAGTTACTGGAATTCAGCCTAAGAGGTCTATTGATGTATTGATTTGGTGTCTTTGCCACAAGATGCTAGGACTAGCGTAGAGGCTGAAGGCTTTCATCTCCACATGAGAGAAACCCATGATGAAGTTAGATGCAGGATTGCTCTTAGCAATGATTCATACAAAGACCAAGTTGATTTACATAGGCACCTAGCTGATTTTCAGGAGGGTGATATGGTTATGGTGCGTGTACGTCCTGAATGCTTTCCTAAGGGCTTTTGTAAGAAGCTTTACTCAAAGATTGCAAGCCCCTATAAGATCACTAAGAAAATCAGTTCTAATGCCTATGTCCTAGAACTGCCAAGTAACATGGGAATTAGCCTAGTATTCAATTTTGAAGACCTAAGTGCATATCATGGCCATAGTGATTGTCCCATAGTCCCATTGCCTAAGCTGCCTTTGGTTCCATCTACTGATGTGTCTGAAGATATCTTTGGTTTGAAGTTTATTTCTATAGCAAGTGGGGGTTATCAAACGTTTCTTGTAAAGTGGAAGAATCTACCTCTTTTAGAATGTTCATGGATTATAACTGAAGACTTGTATTGTCTTAATCCAGAACTTTATGAGCAATATCATGCCTTTAACTCGCTAGGGTCGAGTTATTTTAAGCCAGGGAGAGACGATGGGGATTGGCCCAGGCATTATAAGATCTATTCTCGTAAGAAGAAGGCAAACAAACAGGTTCTGATTTGGAATGGGGAAGACTCTTGGGACTTGGACCAATCTGGTCAGGGGTATTTTCGTCATTTTGACCAGACCCATGTGGGTTTGGGCTATAACATTTTGTTCCTCTATCTTAGTAGTGATTCTCTTTCAATTTTTAGTTGATTTGCATTAGTAAGTAGAAAGTTATTTCTTGATGCACAAGTTATGGAGTGGCTTTTTTGTAATTATGGTGAACAGTATTCCAGGCCACACAAGTCACTCTATAAATAGATGTATTCTCTTCCTTTTGAAGCTTAATGATTTCTTTGAAGTATTCTTGCAATTTTGCTGTATGGAGTGATTAGTACAAACCCTATAGTGATTCTAGGACCCTTGGACTGATTCCTTAATCTCTCTCTCTCTCTCTCTCTCTCTCTCTCTCTCTCTCTCTCTCTCTCTCTCTTGTAATAGTTTGTTCCAGGCCTACTGCATCAGAAGTACACAAATGCAGAAAAAGTGGAAGAGTACTACTTGAATGTAACTATTGTGGAACAAGATACCACCGTACTAGTGGGGTATTTGAATAAAGTTACATCTAACACATATTGGCAAGGATGTAAAAGCCTGCCCTAATGTTCCTCCTCATGTTCAAGACTTGATCAGGCGTGATCTTGGAGAAAATATTCTTAAGAAACAAAAACAACAACCTACTGCTTCTGAACTGATAAAAAAAAAGCTACTGCATCTGAACATATACAGATTACAAGTAGTTGTGATAACTCTTCCATAACTTGCAGAAAAGTACATATAAAGCCTGAAATCATTTGCAATATGCAATTGGACAATGTGCAAACTGTAGCAGCTTTAGTGTCAAGCTAGGAACAAAATAGAAATAACTTTGAAATTCATCCTGTCCATCGCTCTTGGTTTTATGAAGTCCTTTAATTTTCCCATATATTATAATATTCTTGTAATTAATTATGATTTTCTTTTCAGGATGGCAAGAAGAAAGAGCAAGAATTTGAAATGCAAGACAGTATTGAAGAATTACTTCAGTGCCAAACTACCCCTACTGTGCATGGGAACAAAGAAGACTCTAAATTTGAAGGGTCCCCATTCCATATGGTACAAGTTTTTCATTGAATTCCTATATTTTTATTTCTTTCTTGTTAATTTTCCTATCGAGAAAGTATGCAATCTAGGTTACACTAGTGGAACCAGAATTATATTGCTGACATGATGCCATGATAAGGATGTTTGATGACAGCTGAATGGCTTACTTTTGTAATTTAGTGGATAAGTCATTAAGTAGGTTGTAAACTACTTAGAGGCTCAATGGAATTTCAGGTTGATTACTATACACCTAAATATTTCATTACATACTGTTTTACTTAATAGAAGATAAAGTAATAAGCCATTCAGTTCAGCCACTTTGGATCCAAAATCATCCAAAAAATAATTAATAACATGGATAATAACTTTGAAGTTCATCCTATCCATTGTTCTTGGTTTTATCAAGTCCATCAATTTTTCCCATCCATTATAATATCTTGTAATTAATTATGATTTTCTTTTCAGGATGGTAAGAAGAAAGAACAAGAATTTGAAATGCAAGACTGTATTAAAGAATTACTTCAGTGCCAAACTACCCCTACTGTGCATGGGAACAATGAAGAATCTAAATTTGAAGGGCCATCATTCCATGTGGTACAAGTTTTTCATTGAATCCCTATATTTTCAACTCTTTCTTGTTAATTTTCTTATCGAGAAAGCATGCAATCTAGGTTACATTAGTGGAACTAGAATTATGTCAATGACATGATGTCATGATAAGGCCGTTTGACAGCAGCTGAAGCAGCTGAACTGAATGGCTTATTTCTGTAATTTAGTGGATAAGTCATTAAGTAGGTTGTAAGCTCCTTACTGGCTCAATGGAATTTCAGGTTGATTATTATACCCCTAAATATTTCATTACATACTATTTTATTCAATAAAAAGATAAAGCAATAAGCCATTCAGTTCAGCCACTTTGGGTCCAAAATCATCCAAAAACTAACTAATAACATGGATAATAACTTTGAAGTTCATGCTATCCGTTGCTCTTGGTTTTATCAAGTCCTTCAATTTTTCCCATACATTATAATATCTTGCAATTAATTATGATTTTCTTTTCAGGATGGTAAGAAGAAAGAGCAAGAATTTGAAATGCAAGACAGTATTAAAGAATTACTTCAGTGCCATACTACCCCTACCGTGCTTGGTAACAAAGAAGAATCTAAATTTGGAGGGGCCTCATTCCATGTGGTACAAGTTTTTCATTGAATTCCTATATTTTTAACTCTTTCTTGTTAATTTTCTTATCAAGAAAGTATGCAATCTAAGTTACATTAGTAGTACCAGAGTTATGTCGATGACATGATGTCATGATAAGGCCGTTTGGTAACAGCTGAACTGAAAGGCTTATTTCTGTAATTTAGTGGATAAGTCATTAAGTGGGTTGTAAGCTCCTTAGTTGCTCAATGGAATTTCAGGTTGATTACTATATCCCTAAATATTTCATTACATACTATTTTATTCAATAAAAGATAAAGCAATAAGCCATTCATCTCAGCCACTTTTGGTCCAAAATCTTCCAAAAAATAATTAATAAACATGGATAATAACTTTGAAGTTCATCCTATCCATTGCTCTTTGTTTTATCAAGTCCTTTAATTTTTCCCATACATTATAATATTCTTGTAATTAATTATGATTTTCTTTTCAGGACGGCAAGAAGATAGAGCAAGAATTTGAAATGCAAAACAGTATTGAAGAATTGCTTCAGTGCCAAACTACCCCTACTGTGCATGGGAACAATGAAGAATCTAAATTTGAAGGGGCCTCATTCCATGTGGTACAAGCTTTTCATTGAATTCCTACATTTATAACTCTTTCTTGTTAATTTTCTTATCGAGAAAGCATGCAATCTAGGTTACATTAGTGGAACCAGAATTATGTCGATGGCATGATGTCATGATAAGGCTGTTTGACAACAGCTGAAGCAGCTGAACTGAATGGCTTATTTCTGTAATTTAGTTGGTAAGTCATTAAGTAGGTTGTAAGCTCCTTACTGGCTCAATGGAATTTCAGGTTGATTACTTTACCCCTAAATATTTCATTACATACTATTTTATTCAAGGAAAGATAAAGCAATAAGCCATTCAGTTCAGCCACTTTGGGTCCAAAACCATCCAAAAAATAATTAATAACATGGATAATTACTTTGAAGTTCATCCTATCCATTGCTCTTGGTTTTATGAAGTCCTTTGCTTTTTCCCATGCATTATAATATTCTTGTAATTAATTATGAATTTCTTTTCAGGATGGCAAGAAGAAAGAGCAAGAATTTGAAATGCAAGACAGTATTAAAGAATTAATTCTGTGCCAAACTACCCGTACTGTGCATGGGAACAGAGATGAATCTAAATTTGAAGGGGCTTCATTACATGTGGTACAACTTTTTCATTGAATTCTGACATTTTTAACTCCTTGTTAATTTTCTTCTCAAGAAAGTATGCAATCTAGGTTAAATTAGTATTTAGTAGTACCAGAATTATGTTGATGACATGATGTCATGACAAGGCCGTTTGATAAGAGCTTAATTATTTCTGTAATTTAGTGGGCAATTCATTAAGTGGGTTGTAAGCTCATTAGTTTCTCAATTTAACTTCAGTTTGATTACTATATCTCTAAATATTTCATTACATGCTATTTTATTCAATAAAAGATAAAGCAATAAGCCATTCAGCTCAGCCACTTTGGGTCCAAAATCTTCCAAAAAATAATT